TGAGGCCGAGTCCCACATACAGCAACTAGAAGGATGTGCAGCTATGGCATACAACTATCTACTGGGGCTTTGGGGGGAAAAAATAAATAAATAAATAAAATATTTAAAAAAAAAAAAAAAAAGAATAAACCAAACCTGCTGACACCCTGATCTTGGACTTCTAGCCTCTAGACTGTGAGGAAATAAATTTCTGTTGTTTAAGCCACCCAGTCTGTGGTATTTTGTTATAGCAGCCCTAGCAAACTAATGTAGTGATAAAGTCATGCATCGCTTAATGACAGGGATATGTTCTGAGAAATGTGTTGTTAGGCAATTTCATCATTGTGTGATCATAGAGCGTACTTACACAAACCTAGGTAGTATAGCCTACTACACACCTAGGCTATATGGTACTAATCTTACGACACCACTGTCGTATATGCGGTCTGTCACTGACCAAAATGTTATGGGGCACATGACTGTATAAAAAACACAATCCCTGCCCTGCAACCTTACGGAGGGATACTATCCATTGTATTCCAAACAGTAAGCTCCAGGAAGGCTTAGAGTTGTATCCTTAGTATGTCACATAATAGGTGCTCAATAATTATTATTGAAAGAAGGTATGAATGAATGAAATGGAAAGGTATTTTATTTGTATGTAGAATCTCAGTTTATTCTATATACACTATGGAATACAATAATCTTCCATTTCTGTGAATTCTTCCTGACAGCAATTCCTAATACACTACTAAGCTGCTACGATTCCATTCTTTCTTACAACTTCCTAGTGTAAGCCTATCACTTCTATATTTCTTCATATAACCAGGTGCCAACAACACCACCGTTTAGTCAGATCCTTCATTTCCTCCAAGTCAAATGCAATCCTGATTTAGTTGTTGAGATACCAAAAATGCCTAAAGCCAAAATTTTCAAAAACAAGCCAGTTGCTACCACAACAGAACACACTGATTTACTAGGTCCTTCTGTTTTTATAATACATGTGTTGTAGGTCCACTATGTTTTCAAACAAATCCAAAATTACCCATGGAAGGGGGAGTTATACAAAAAAAAACAGTGCTGCCTGAGAGGGTAAAATCAATCAAGGCTGCACTTGATCACTTTTGCTACAATTTCATATAAATGCACTATAAGATATGCTTAACTATATTGAACATATTTTTCAAATTTTGAGGTTGGTGATTTAAAGAAAGACTGGTTCAATTGTTGTTTACTGGCTGGTTGGAAAGGAATGTATTTTGGAAGAAAGATTCAAACATCATTGAGGTCCTGGAAGGATGGGAAATTGAATAACTGAGTCTGACCTGGAAGATAATGGGTAAGTAAACATGAAATATACCTTCTCCACTGTATGAGCCTCTTCATTTATAAAATAGAGACTGAAACTCCTATTATATAGGAATGCCTAAGTGTTACGAGTGAAGAGGCCTGTAATCATATTGCAATATATAAATTTATCAAATGAATACGTTGTACAACTTAAACTTACACAATGTTATATATAAATTATATCTCAATAAAAATAAGTTTTAAAAAAAGAGTGAAGGGAACTTCTGGTTTAAAATAACAGAATAGTCCTCCTAAAAATCCTACTAAAATGAAATAAAGGAATAAAAAAAAGATAAGCTTATTTAAGCTCATTGCTCCACCAATTCTCCCTTCTCTCTCTCCTGCACCATCATTTTCCTCCCTCACTACTGGATGAGTCCCATCAGTATACAAGCTCTTACTCTCCCACCTTTAAAAAGAAAGGGAACCTTCTTGACCCCTTTCCTCACCAGTCACTGTTCCTTTTCTCTGCTCCTCTTTGTAGCAAAACTCTTCAAAAGAATTATATATATTCACTGCCTCCCATTCCTCTCCTTCTATTCACCCACTCCACCGAAACAGTTCACATTAAGGTTACCAATGACTTCCTTGTTACGTAGTTCAAGGGTGAATTCTCAGTCCTCATCTTACTTGACCTATCAGCACTATTTGGCACAGCTGATGAGCCCCTCCTCCTCGGTTCACTGTTTTCACTTGTCTTCCAGGACCCCATACTCTCCTGGTCTCCTCTCACCTCACTGGCTGCTCCTTCTGTCTCCTTTACTGGCTCCCCTCTCCTCCCAGACCTCTTAAAATGGGAGTGCCCCCAGGTAAGGTCCATGTTCCTCTTCTCTCTCCTATCTACTCTCACTTCCTCAGTGAACATCTACATGTTAACAACTCCCAGATTTCTAACACCTAAACCCCAGACTAACATGTCCAACTACCAATTTAACATAGCCACTCAGATGTCTAATAGGTATCTCAAATGCACCATTCCAAAATTGAACCACTAACCTCCCTCTCCAAATCTGCACAGTCTTTCCCATCTCAGTTGACAGTAACTCCATTGTTCCACTTGCTCCCCACAAAACCTGGAGGTTTACTCCTCTCTTTCTCTTATACTTATTCAATCCATCAGGAAA